GGAGAGGAGAGGAGAGGAGAGGAGAGGAGAGGAGAGGAGAGGGCTTTGAAATGCAGAAGAAAGCCATGTGGTCACAGACGCGGAGATTGGTGGGACGCGGGAGGCAGCCACAAGCCAAGGAACGCCTGGGGCCACCACAAGCTGGAAGAGGCGGCGAAGGACTGTCCCCAGGAGCCTTCGGAGGGAGGGACCCCTGCCCACACCCTGATTTCAGACTTCCGGCCACAGAGCCACGAAAGAACACGTTTCTGTGGTTGGAAGCCCCCGGTGTGTGGTTCTTTGCTGTAGGAGCCCCAGGACGCTAACGCACCTGCTCAGGGATCAATGCTATTGACGTTACTCGCCATTGTTTTCGTAGCAGGCAGAGCTGAGTCTCGGGCACTGTCGCTCTAGTGACAGAATCAGGTGCTGGCCTTGTGCCACGCAGTCCTCAAACCCCTTCCACACGCCCTCTCCTTCGTTCTTGCCGTCACACGGACATTTCCCGACACCGCTTCTGAGCCCCCTCTGGGAACTGGCTTAACCAACCGATAGAACGGAGCGTCTCCCGATCACATTTGGGAAAATAGCTGCTGGGGTTTCACTAAGTCCCCGGCTGGGGCGTCTTAGGTGCCTGTTGATCGCCGGCCAGGGATCTCTCCTGGGGCGCCTGGGTGGGCATATGAAGCTGCTGGCCAGTGGCCTGGAAAAGCTGTGGTCTCAGCACCCAAGGACTCCGGACAGCCTTTCTGGTCGTCTTGTGTGTCTTTCTCCCAAGGCTCAAGCCACACCCCACCTGCTCCCGAAGCCTTTTCTGTCCTTCCCTGCCCTCGGAGAGGATGCCTCCTCTAAACTCAGAATCGCTGCTGAAAATCCCACTCGGGGATCCCGAATATGATGGCTCGTGCTATCCTCATCTCGCTTCCCTGAGAACAGAGGCTGTGTATTCCCTCTCTCTCTACCTGGGCACCGCTGTGGGGCCTCTGCAGAGTTGCTGTCCAATATAGTTTTGTTCAATGCTTGCAGACGGTGGGAACTGTTCCTATCTGCCTCCTGCGGATGTCGATGCCAATAACAGCCCCCCGACTAGGGGACACCCCTGGGAAAATTAGGACGCTAGGGCTCTGTGGTCCCGGGGTGCACGGGGAAGCCAGGAGAGCTGTTCATCCGAGCCGAACTTCCGGAACCCTGTGGACAGTCAACTTACAACCGAAACCGACTGCCGGATTCGCGGGGCCCGGTGCAAAATGAAAACGATAGGGCCCTTTGTTAAAAAATTATTAGGAATTCCCAGACGGCCACAGCAGAGCGCCGCACGCAGCACGGGGGCCCTCTGCGCGCAGAGCCCCC